CCGCTGAAGTGTCGACCATTTCTGGCTGGCAACTTTCAGCATCATTAAGCCGCTGCGCCACCACATCCCCCTATTCTGGACTTACAATTTTTTATTCATGGACCAGGAAAAAAAAGAAAAGAAATCTGCATTATTGCCGTTGGGATCAATGTTGCTGCAGTCAAATGGGGGAGGGGGGAGCACCTTTCTGTTCCCTTTGCACTTTCCCATGTGACAATGAGGGGAAGAAATTGAAAGTTTAAAGGAGATAAAAATGGAGTGCTCAGAGAAGTCCTATTTCTATGGCACCTCCCTATGGCTGTTTTTCCTCTTTCAGCAGCAGAAAGGAAAGATTTAACCAACATGGTGGACTGAAGTTTGTTACTTAAACTAAACCCCTACTGCTGATTAGATTAGGTATTTGCACAACACCAATATTTTCCCCATGACCCAGTTAACTGTGGCATGCTAATATAATCTCACATGTATTTTTTTCAAAAGCAGGTCTCCCTGAGTTGGAGCTTCTTCACAGGTAACTGTGTTTACAACTGCAGGTCTCAATCAATGTCATGGTAAAAATTAACTGAAAAAATTACTCAGGAGCAAAGATTTTGCTAAGATAAAAAATCCTCACTCACGGAACATTCTGCAGCTCTAGCAGCAATTCTTTCTACTTGCTGCTCTAAGGAAGGCCTGCCATCTAGTGGAACCAATACACAGATACATGTTATTGAACAAAGTGCTTTTAATATTGAACTAAAGTTAGTCTTTCTCCTGAATTATTATAACCTTTAGTATTAGTATTTGAGTGTTAAAAAGTAGTTGATGTAATGCAGGAGCAATACATGTCATTATTATGTTCACTCAGCAGTAAGGGTTTCAGATGAAACAGGTTTTTAATAAAATCCTGATAATCTGCTGGTATCTATTAATATTTTTCTCTGTTTCCCAAACAAAACCAAAACAAAATCCATCTCACTGCTCTTCTATTCCTAGCAACCTGGAAGTGGGGGGGGGGGGCGTCATCTAAGAAAAACAGGCAAACGTTGAATGAGAGCTTGATACATGCATTTTAGCCAGCATTATAAGAAAACTCTGAAGAAATAAGTACTATTCATTTTAGAGAAGATACCGGAAAATTATTATAAACACTTGAAATACTAGTATATGATTGTACTCAGTGGGGAAAACGTGAGAGTTTTTGCAATACTATATCACTGGATATTTTCAATAGCCCTATATAAGAATAAAACGTGCTTGGTAAATTGTGTTAAACTGAAGGAATTGATCCAAATGCAATCACTAACTCAATTGGGCTTAGTGACTGCAGGCAACATATGGAAACAGCTTTATCGAAAGACAGATGGGAATGTGTGTCTTTTGCTATAATTATGCAGGGAAGTTTTAGTCTTGAAGATGACTTTAAAATATTCCTATAATTCAAAAGATGTGTTTAACTGTGCAGTTATAATTATTAGCAGATTATATCAGAACAAGATAATAGAAAAACTGATTTAATATTCTATAAAATAATCTACTGTAAAGATGATTTTAATCCCAAAACCTTTTTCCAAATAATTCCATTATTTATTTATTGAGGTTTTTAAAAGCAATTATTTACAGACACTTGTGGATTTTGTATAGATAACTGACAGATAAAAGTTCAGGTAAAGGTGTCTTTGAAATAAAAAACAAATCTTATGGCAATTGTTTGCATAATTTGACACTGGTATTCTAAAAGAAAATGAAGAACTATATAAATTAGAATATATTTGCATAAATCCTTTTTCATGAATTCTGCTTTAGTTCAAGTTGGAAGGTTGCATATTGTAGTTTACACTGACTAGTTCTCTTCCTCCATATTTGTTGTTATTGTTGTCATTTTGTCAATAAATGCAGCATTATATATTCTTGCAAAGTGTGCCTCTCCACACAGCCAGCCATGTCAATTATTCCCCCACCCCCAATTCCAGATGTTAGAATCATTAAGTGGCAAGGAATTCCCACTGGATTTCAGTTGCAAGTACAATTCATACAATTCATTCTTAAATAGGCAGACCACCCTTCACCCAAAACCTCAACAGAAAGCTCTACAGAAACTCCATCTGTTTCTTTAGCCTCTTAATTTCAAAGACACATTGTGATGTACAACTCATAATCACAATCCAAACTATGAGAGTTATGTCCTTTCATTTGATACTGGGACACAACTACAAAAGGTTGGGGTTTGCACTGTAATGTTGCAATACACGTTTCATAATTTTTTGTCATCATAGTTTGTTCTGTATGCTGATGTCAGTTACTTAATTGGGGGTCACACGGTATCCTAAGCTACAGTTTAACCATATTTATTGAGTAGACCACACATATATTTTCACAACATACTAAACCAACTTCACAAGTTGCAGTATCTGGGTTTACACAAGCTAAACCAAATCAAACCATTTTGTGACTTAGCAGTGTAGAAAAGCAGCCTATAGTTGTGATTGCACAACAGATAAAGTCACAATAAAGGGTTAATGAGTGTACACTGTCATTTTAGCCGCAGCCCAATTGTGCATATGGTTCAATAATTAAGACTTGTGAGCATCTAGCACTTTTTGAAACCACAATTTGAAATCAAGGCTTAGTGTAATGGGCATATGCATTAGAAATTAAGTCAGTAGCATTGCAGTTGTTTAATCTTTACAGTAGCTTAGCACATCATGGGAATACAGCCAATTTTCTATTCCATTTGTCATTATCAGCTTCTCCCTTATTCAGAGGCTATACCATTGAAAGGGACAAATCAGCCCCACTGAGACAGAAAGCAGGCCCAGTTCATGTACTGGGCTAAGCTATAATATGATTTATTTGGTTTTGGCTTAGCATGTTAATGAATTCAGTCAAGCTTCCTTTTTTTCCCTATGCAGTTGAGAGTGTTGTATCAGTTACCAAATTCAAAGGGAAAATGGTTCAGTGATGAAAGATTCACTTTTTAATTCATATCCATAGTAATTACAGGTGGTGAGATTACATTTAGCACTAGATTGATATGAATGTCTGGAAGGGTGTGATACCGACAGTTGATCTGGAGGGGCCCAAAGATTATTTTGTCACAGAGCTGTTCCTAGACAGAAGAACACACAGTAGAGCTGTTCAGGAAAGAAGATCGCCTGCTTCAGACCACTTGCCCCAAATGAAACTTCCCAAATGCCACGGCTATACAATTTGCAGTACCAAAAGCTCTGAAGGGCAGAGATTTGTTATGCGTCAGTATCTTGCTAGAAACCTTTTGAGCCAAAATCGGTGCCCTGAGCGTGGACCGAATCCAATCAAAGCTGCTGAGGCATTCCGCCAGCGAGGAGTTTCTTCGGCAAAGCAAACGATACGATGTTGGGGGGGAGGGATGCACACGCTGTATGTGCATAAACACTCATGTAATCAAACCTCAGTTTTGGTTTAAGCCGCTGCCGTGCACAAGATTAAATCTTGGCACGTTTAGGCTTACAGAGCATTTCAAAGAAGCCCTCCGCTGGAAAGACATCGGCGGTCCCAAGCCGAGTGGGGATGCAAATCCATCCCAGGTCCCAGATCTCGACTCCCAGCGCACGCCTAACTCCTGGCCGCAGGGAGGACTTGGGAACCAGCTTCCCTCCGCCTTACCGCGGCAAACAACGCCCCAAAACACACCCGCGCAGTCGGCCGGTCAGACAAGGGGCGCCTGCCGCGTCACGAGCCTTCCCAGGTGGGGTCTCGGTTCGCCACGTGCGGCTTTGCAGGCGCGGGAGGAAAAAAAGCAAGGACAGCGCGACAGCATCGACGGCTCGTCGAAGGACCAGGTCGTGCGAGCGCCGGGGCAGGCCTGAGCCGCCTCCGCTGCTCTTCCTCCCCTCTCCGGCTGACGGGATCCGAGCGCGACGGGGAGGAGCCATCGCCCGCTTTCCCTCTGACGAAGCCGCGCTTGCCGGCAGCAAGGGAAGGGAAGAGTCGGAGGGGCTTGCGCGGGGAGTCGCTGTGCATGGGCGCGGAGGACGGCGGGACAGCGCCGGGGAAGATGGGCTCCCAGGACGTGCTCCGGGATACCGCCCGGCTGGCCTCCTCCAGCGCCCTCTTGCAGGTACCCGCCAGAAGGCGGGAAGGCGGGGATGGAGGCCGGAGGGCACGCGGCAGCCGCCTTTCGCTTCCTTTCCGCCTCTCCTCCTGACTGCCGGCCTGTCCTTTCTCGAGGTGGCTTATTTCTGGGAGAGATGGTGGACCTCAGGCTCCCGCTTAAGTGGAGAAGAGCCTAACGTGTCCTGGGCGCCGCAGACGCGGCAATAAGCAGCCGGCGGAGCCGGGAGGCAAAGTGACTTCAGTAGGCAAAAATCGGTGGAGATGTGCGGTGCTTCAGAAACTAATTAGTTGATCATGGCATGCGTTATGGAAGGCCACAAGTCTCTCCCTCAAGTTCTGGGGTGGTCTGTGGCCCACGAATCGTAAGAGTCCAAAGGCTGGAAAGGATTTTAGAGATGGCCTCCTGCAGCCTCCTTCCGGCTGCAGGAATCCATTGCTCCAGCATCCCAGACAGATGGCTGTCCATTCCTCTGTTAAACATGGCCAGCAAAGGAGAGTCCACCACCTCATAGGGCAGTCTGTTCCGTTGCTGAACAGCTCTTTAAGAATTTTTCTCGATGTTCAGCTGAAATCTACTTTGCAATTTAAACCCAGTGTTTCTTGTCTTGTGTCCTGGAACAACTCTGAATAGTTCTGCCCTGTCTTCTACAGGGCAGCCCTTCAGTTACTATCATGCTATCCCAGAGTCTTCTCCAGGATAAACATATCCAGCACTTCCAGCTGTTCCAGAGCCCTTAACATCATAGTCACTCTCCACACTCCAGTTTTCAGTATCCTTCCTAAAATGCATCCTGGCTCATGCTCTGCCTGAGATCCATCAAGACACCAACTCCTTTTTGTCTGTGCTGCTGGCCTGTATGTTCTCTCCTGCACACACTAAAGTCATGCCTTTGATTTTTTTTTCTTTATTTCTGTTCAGCTGTTCTGCATTTGTTTTTCTGTTGAAATTCATCTTGCTGGTTTCTGCCTGTTGTCCCAGCTTGTCATCATTCTCCTGAATCTTGATACTGTCCTCTGGTGCTTGGTTTTCCCTCATCTCTGTATTATCTGCAGGTTTGATAATCATATTACTTGATCTGCGATCCAAATCACTTGTTAATACATTGGACAGGACAGGGCCTAGAACAGAGCCCTTTGGTATGTCACTTTCCTCCAGTGTGACATGGAACCATTGACATTCACTTGCTGGATATTCAACTACTGTTGGATATTATCCAGTTAGCTCTGTTTCTATCTAATGGTAGCATAGTTAAGCCCATATTTTGTCATCTGCTGTACTAGAATCTCATGGGAGTCTTTAGTGAATGCTTTACAGAAGTCAAGCTATCCTATTTCTATGACATTTCTTTGGTTAACTAAACTGGTAACTTCACCAAAAGAGGAGGTTAATTTGGCATGATTTATTTTTAAGAAACCCATGCTGGCTCCTGCTGAGGAATGCATTATTTTTAAATGCTCAAAAATTGACTGCTTCATAATCTGTTCCAGAGTTTTATTCAGTATTGACATCAAACTGATAGATGTATATTGTTACCTGGGTCCTTCTCCCCCCACTTTTTGAATATAGGAGCAACACCTTCTCTGGCACTATGCTCATCCTGCATGATTTTTCATTGATCACAGAAAGGGGCTCCAAAATGACATCAGCAAGCTCCCTCAAGGTTTTTGTAATTAATCTGCTCTTCGAAATTTAACCCATTCATAGTAGCCAGTTAGTACTTAGCCTTAACTTTACTTACCTTGGGTTGCTACTCTCTCCTTGGGTCAGTTGTTCTGCTTAGGTTCATCTGAACACAGCTACCTTTGGGGAGAAGGCCATATCAAAGTAGGGGTTGAGAAGCTCTGCCCATTCCCTGTCACTATTATCTAGTAGTGCACAATCTAGCGGTGGATCTTTCTGGTTGTTGTTGTTTTTTAATTCCTTTTACTAATGCTGTAAGCCAAACATTCTTTTGTAATTTAGCTTTTCTTACTTATTTTCCGCAGATATTAGCTACATGCTGTACACCTTCTTGGTGATTACACCATCTTACATTTCCTATACATGCCCCTTTAAACTGTTAGTTGAAAACTCCCTATGCTACCTTTCTGGTTTGTTAAGATGCCTCCCCCCCCATATGTATTTTCATTGGAATGATGTGCTTCCTGTATCTTAACTTGGAGAAATTTCCAACTTTCCTGCATTTACTTTGACTTAAGGATCTCTCCATGGATCCCTCCTAATATTTCTCTAAGCTTGTGGAAATTAGCTATCCTGAAATGTAATGTGCATGGCAAACTCGGTGCCAGTTTCTTTTCCTGTAGCATCTTGAACCCAACATGGCATAGTTGTTCCTCCCAAAGTTCCCATTGCTCTTAGGTCTTCAACACGTTCTCCCTATTGGGATCAAATCTAGAAGAGTCAGTCTCCTTGCCAAAAGAGTCAGGAAAGCAATGGGTGGTAGTGACAGGAGACTTCCTACTTAAAGGGACTGAAGCAGCAATCTGTTCACCAGAGAGCCTATCAAGAGTTGTGTGCTCCCTCTCTCTGTCACACATTTGATATATGACAGAAAGACTGACAAGATTTGGTGACAGGTAGTGCTTTCTGTTGTGTGGAGAGTGTACTATAGATCGCCAAACCTGGCAGGAGAGATAACGCCCCCCCAGGCCAGATTATAGAATTTTCAGGATGAACAGATATAAAAATAACTGGAAATTGTAACTACCTGCACATCTATTGGAAAACCAACCTGGGCAAGACTTCAGGGTTCCAAAAATTTCTCAGGTCTTGTCCTCTTCAGGGCAGTCTCTGAGGTTCACTGCAGCTGTTCCTCATCCAGGATCCAGAAACCTCATCAACAGTGAGAATAGATTCCTCATTGTGGAATTTATTCCAAACCTCCAGAACATAAGAGTTTTTCTTGTCAGTTCTTCTATTTGGCTTTGTTTATCTTCTGGGAGGCTTCTTGATGCTGTTGTCTCTCCATAAGCATTTCCTGTGCTCAGTTCAAAAATGCCACTCTTCCCTGATAAGTTGGAGGGGTGGACATTTCTGCCTCTAACTCCTTTGTTTTCTCTTCCAGGAGGGCAGTTACACTGCACTTGTAGCAAGTGTAGGTCTTGTTATCTTCAGGAAGGGAAATAAACATGCAGATGATGAGAACAATTTGCTCTGTCTCCCTATTTCTCTGAGAAACAGTAAAAACTTCCCCTGCTAAATTCCTGGCTTCCTTATATGTCCTCTGAAGTTGTTTCAGCTGGGTCAGTGGCAAACTATGTTCCAATCACACTTGGGGCAGTCAGCAGCACTCAAGGAACAGTAGCAATCTGTCAGTGGCCTCTCCTCCTCTTTTGTTCTTCCTTCCTCTTCCTCCTCTGCTTTCTTCTTCCTCTTTTCTCTCAGTTGAGTTCCTCTGCCAAGTTCCTGGTTGCTCTCCCTGGTTGCTCACTCAGTGAAAGTGTTCCATAATAGTATCTGTGTTTAATTTTTTAAAAGAAACATTTCCTGCTTCCAACTCTGGCATTAGCCAGCACCCACCATGATGCCCATTAGCCTTAAGAGAATTCCTTGGTGTGACAGGCTGTGTTCTAGTAGCTGTTTATAGAGCCAAGTACCTTCAAAACCAGGAGTACAAAACAAAGGGAAAGGTTGATCTGATAGTTAGAACAATACAAAATTGCTCCTTTGAACTCACATTCTTCTGCTCTGTCAGCTGCACCAAGTTAAGACCCTGGAGATTATGGTCTTTTGACTATCATGTACATTACTTAAGTTGTGAACTATACAATTAATGTTTATCTTCTCTCCTTATCTACTATATTTTTGTGAGTGAATCTATAAAGCACAGAAAGTGAATACCCCTCCCCAACATGTTCAGTTTTGTATTTTAATCTCAAATTATGTTATTATCACAACTAAGAAAAAATGGAATTTGCTTCTGTTGTCCTGATATTATTGCTTGAAAATACACATAGTTTTGTTATTTAAAAAGCACTTTATTTAAACATTTATGGACTACCAACTTCCAAAGTTTTGATGGTAGTTCTATCTCCAGTTATGATTTCTAGCACAGGTACAAACAGTGCAGAATGACCATGGTAATTTTGGCATCAGTTTTGTGGTTTTCTGCATATTTTTCATAAAGGAGATATATTGTACATAAGGGATCTGTGCATTGCTTTCCCAACATTTCCCAGAAATTCCCAGCATTTAATCAAAGAAAGTAATTCATAAAAACTACTTGTGGATTCAGTTATTTTAAGACAGTTGTGGCAAGTGGCAGAATACGTAAAGCCTAAGCCTAACAAAGAACAAATGCCTAAGAGAGAATAGCTTATCAGCATCATATTCTTTTAATGAATACTTACCATTGGATTTAAAGCTAATCCTGTCATCTCTTCTTATGCTCTTGTTTTCTCTATTTCTCAGATTAAATAGGTAATTTATTTCATCTTCAATTCCATGCAAAGAATCAGATGGTTCTCATTTCAGATAAATGGATACAATTCTTATGCTCTCATGTTACTATTTTATGCACAGTTGACAATGAGATAGGTAGCATATGGGGATCTGGAGATACATGCATTCAGAGGCTAGACATTTTCCCTGATGTTCTTCCTAGTGATTCATTTAATGTCAAAATTAATTTAGCTGTACAAGAGATGCACATAGGTAGTACATTATTAAGTTTACACACACACACACACAGTACAAATATTAGAAAAGAAACCAAGAAAATAAGGAAAAGTAGTAGATAAGTAAGAAAGAAAAGAAAAGAAAAGAAAAAAAGATTATAAAGAAGCAGCATCTGATCTTTTTGACATCAGTTATAAATGCATTTATATTTTACCCCCTCTAAGGTTACATCATAATTTCCTTCTTTCCATAAGCTACCCTTTCTCATGTTTAAACCCATAAATCAAAGTTCATTTTTCTCTTTTTTTCAGCAAAAAGTCCATAAGGGGTTTCCAGTCACTGATAAATGTGGTTGTTAATTTTTCTCTAATCAAATTAATTTTGCCATCTCTGCTACTTCTGTCACCACCAACCATTCCTCCATTGTGGATATTTCAGAGTCTTTCCATTTTTGTGCTTATAATAGTCTTGCAGCTACATTGTTGAGTTTCCATGTTCAGAATAAGTAAATCAAGAGAAAAGACACTTGTGTTTTCCTAAAACAACTGCTGCACTGCTGCCTGTATTCTGTAGTGCTAAACCAGGAAGCAAAGAACCTGTTATGCAGAAGAATTCTTTGAGTAGAGGCAGACTCAGGATTGAAAATATTATTTGTACTTTAAACAACTGATGATCATCCTGCAAAGGCTACAAGCATTGCCCTATGTATTAGGTTAAGCATTAGCTTCAAACGAAGGGCATAGTTTAGTAGCTGTATGGCAATTAATTAAGGACCGTTAGAGCCAAGCTATAATTACAATATCGTGTAATTATTTTCCATCTTCATATATAGAATCTTATGTAAAAATTGGCAATAATGCTGATGCCTTTTTTAAAAACTGTTTCATTCTGCTCAGGTTTTACCATTCCGTAGGATTCTTCTTTTCTGTGCCTGTAAGGTTTAATAATATTATTAGCTTGTATAATGTTTTTATTTTATAATGAATGCTAGTTATATTGCAAATCAAACTAATATAAATTCTAAATGTATTCCAAGTGTTTCATATGCCATGGCTGTGATTGGATCTAAAAGTGAGAGAACAGTAGTTTGGGCTTAATCTCTTATAAGGGCTTGCTCTCATGTATGTAATCAATGAAATAAAAATAAGTATCTATAGAATTATTACTGAGTTTGTGGCAAAAGTTTATAGGCAGCGTTTCTGGAGTATCCAACTTCAAGTATTCGAACAAGCAAAGTAATCCTACATATCTGTTGAGTGATGACACATTGAATTCAAGGGGATTACTATTATTTAGTGGAGATAAGATCATAGTGTTAAGATGAGAACTCCTGAACAAAAGGTAGGACATCAATCTAAATAAATAAATGTTTCTTGAAATCTGAATTCATTTACAGCCTGAAAGTTAATGTTTGATTAATTTCACATTTCTTTTTACAGGTGCTATTCCGGCTAATTACGTTTGGCTTAAATGCTTTTACTTTACGTTATGTATCAAAAGAAATAATTGGTCTTGTGAATGTAAGGTAATAAATCATAGTCATTTTATTAAAAATGAAATATTAATGGTTCCAAATTATAATAGTTTTATCTCTATTTTCTGTTTGGAATGAATTTGGGTAAATTACTTAACTTTCTGCTACTTGGCAGGTTCCTGCAAGGAGACATTTTGAATTGTATGGATGGATCAATGTCTGCAGTGATGTCTAAATGCAAATTTGAGTTTGTGATTTAGTTTCTTGAATAAATGCCTTTTCCTCTAAATTATGTAAATATCTAGTGGCTTTTGAAAATGCTATGTTGGCAAAGTCATTTCTGATTTTAATAGATATTCAGTAGCTCTGAGTGTTTCTTGAAATGACAGGTTTGCATTATTTCAAAATGTAAAATATACTGGGTTTAACTGTATACCATGTATTGCCAAATTTACCAGTTTCCCTACCTTCCCTTAATTCACAGAAACCTTGCCTGAAAAAGAATAGCCACATCTCCTATACTACACTTCTCTCTTTAAAAGAGAGCTGTGCTGTAGCTTGATGCAGACTTAGTGATACCTTAATGTAAATTTTTTTAGCTACTGTTATTCTAGAGCAAAATTACTTCTGAAAGAATCTGCTGTTAAAGATGTAACCTGATCCACCAAAGCAATAGAACTCTACCAGAGACTTAAGAAAACTTTGAATAATGTTTTCAACGTACTCTGTTTTATGATTTTCATTTTGTATATTTCTTGATTTTCATTTTTATTATGAGACGCTCAGGAAACTTGTTTTTAGATAGGTGAAAAATAAAAATTTATTTTTTGTTTAGTTAAGTTTAGTAATGCTGTAAACATTGGGAATACATAGATAAATCTATGGTGTAAATTAATAAAAATAATTTACACTTTTCTTGAAACTGTATAATATACTCAGTGAGTTACAATTACACAGAAAATGGTAAAATACTGTAAGATTACTTTGTTTCTGTACTTAATAGTGTTACTAAGAAACTTAGTGTAACATTTAAACATAACTTCGACAGGATCCAGAGAAAAGAAGCTTATGCTAACATCCGGGGATCATTCCCAAGCATGAATACGTATATCTTCTAGTTGTTATATTCTGCAGAAATGAGAGTTCTGTCCACTTCAGTTGTATTACACCCCCCCACCTCAATTCACAAAATACATGTAATCAAAGTAAAATAGAAAAACTTCACTGAGATTTTTTATATAACCTCAGATTTTTAACAGCTAAATTTAAGAATTCTTTAAAAGAAACAGCTATGGATTTATAAAAGGTTAATTTCAAAAAATGGTCTAAAACATAAATACTAATTTGAAAATGCATATTGGGGCAGTTCATATTTCCTTGTTAAAAAAAAAAAAAGGAAGCAGGATTTATAAGCTTATTAATATTCAAAGGTCTAAGTCAGTGTTGTCCAAACTTGGCCACTTTAAGATGAGTGGACTTCAACTCCCAGAATTCCCCAGCCAGCCATGACTTGAAGTCCACTCAGTGGCCAAGTTTGGACAACACTGGTCTAAGTTGTGCCTGACACGACATGTATAAAATATTGTGACCCGCCCCAGTTGCATGTGACCCCCAGGTGAGCACAGTGCACAACTGAGAACCCTAAGGCAATCAACTCTTCTTTGGTACATATTATTGATAGTTGTTATAGTTATTAACTATAGTTAATATAACTGTATTAGTAATAAGAACAATATTGATAGTTGAAATTACCTTTTTAAAATGAAACTACCTTTTTCTTTCTGTTTCTTCCCTTTTCCTCCCAAAACATTAGACTGATGCTGCTTTATTCAACAGTGGTTTTCTTAGCCAGGGAAGCGTTCCGTAGAGCTTGTCTGAGTGGGAGCACAAGGAGAAACTGGACCCAAACATTTAATCTTTTATGGCTAACGTAAGTTCAAATGACTCATTTGAACATTTTGGCAGAAGAAGCTGCAAGGTTTGGAGATGTGTTAGAGTTAGCTAAAGAAGCCATTTCATATCTTTGAATGAGACAAGTAGGATATCTGGATGGATAGGGGGCAAGCTTCCAGCTTTCAATCTGAACACTTTTTATATTATCAAAAGGAAAATATGCAGGATATTAAGCAATTTTGCTTGCACTTTTGAAAAGGTAGAGGAGCTTGCTTTTCAAGTCATGGCTGTGTTGAAAAGCAGGCAGTTGAGTTCAGTTAAGATAGAATATGAAATTCTTAAGTCACTTAATATTTATCTAAATTGCCACTGATATCTTTGAGCTTATCTGTAGTAGTTTCATTCCAGGTATTTAATTCTAATGCATATATTAATTACCACATCTCCCTAAACCACATTTGGAGGGTACCAAGTTTAAAAAAGGTGCTGTACAGCTCTTGGATGAGAATTCCTCTCTTTGGAAGAATTCTTCTTGTTCTGCTGCCTGGAAAAAGAAAGCAATTTCCATTTTTTAATGTTAATGTTCCAAAGTTAAATAAACTTTGGAAGGTTAGCGCCGGTGGGAAAAACTGTGGATCTTTTATATCATACTCTGCTTTAGTAGGAGAAATGCTTGCGCCTTGCCTTTTTTAGTGAGTGAAGCAGCAAATACAGTCTCTCTCTCTCTCTCTCTCTCTGTGTGTATATATTTATCCATGACCATACATATTTGCATATAACACCTGCAAATTTGCGGTTTTTGCTGTTCCTTTTTTACTTTTTGTGTTTGGCTATTAGTTTCCAAAGAGCAGCCCTACCCTCAAGCACTGAGAGAAAGATGTAGATTTCTTGAATAAATAAATATGTATGCAAAAATCTTACGAGTTGTAATGCATTTCAAAGGATATTGTAATTAAACAACAGCAATAATTTATTCATACAGATGTAGGGAAAAACAGATGCATGTATTTCTGAAGTTTATTGTATTGATTCTTGGTTTACTAAAAATGGGTGTAGATTTTTCTAAGAATTCACTGTTGAAGATGAGAGAGAAAAGAACAAGTTATGAATTTTGGCTTAAGGGTTTGTCTTCTTAACTTTTGTAGAGTTCCTTTGGGCGTATGTTGGTGTGTGTTCTTGGGCTGGATCTGGCTAGATATACTTGAAGTTCCTGATGAAAATGCAGTTCCTTACTATAATTTCGGAGTACTTGCTTTTGGTCTTTCTGCTGTGATTGAACTCCTAGGTGAACCTTTTTGGGTTTTAGCTCAAGTACACTTATTTGTAAGGCTAAAGGTTAGTGAAAAATAAGTTCCTTTTATTTTTGTGTAGTTGTACATAATTCTCCTGTCTCCTATTTCCCCCACAACAACAACTTTGTGAAGTGGGTTGGGCTGAGAAAGTCACACCTCTGGCTTTCATGGCTAAGGGAAAGCTAGAACTTAGCCTCTTAGTGTCTAGCCCAGCACATTAACCGCTGTGCCAGACTGGCTAAGCAGTGCTTAGAAGTGCTATTGCACTGGCAAAATGAGGCTTACATTGATGTAGCCTTTGAGAACCCACACCTGCATAGCCAAAGTACATGACGATTTTTCCTTTTCATCTCTAGCAATTGTTTTCATTATCTTCCTTTCCCCTTCTGAGCTGATGATGGCTTTGTTTATAATGCAGAGCCATCATTGCAGGCCCAGAGACAACATTTGGGACTAGAAGATTCCTTCCGTAGGATTGCTCAACCTCTTCATCATACTTGACTCCACTGAAATCAACAGGATCTTTAATCTTTAATCCTGCCTGATTTTCCTGAAACAAAGCAAGGGTAACTTAATTGGGGTCCAACTCATTATTTTTGGCACAGAGGATGTGGATACCCAAACAATTGAGAATATCATCCTAAAGGAAAATGGTTGTTCTTTGAGAAGTTTCTGCTGTTGTAGAAAATATTTATGGCTCTTCAGAGCTACATATTTGTAGAAATGTTTCAAAACAAGAATTCTGGATCGCATGATATTTGAATCTGACACATAAGTATTATCATTAGGAATTTGTGTATCTAATAAGATCTTTTTATGTTCTTCACAGGTGATTGCTGAGAGTTTTTCAATGCTTTGCAAATGCTTTTTGACAGTCATTCTAGTAGTTTTGTATCCACACTGGGGGCTCTACATCTTTTCTTTGGCCCAGGTACCATTTTCTACCTGCTTTCTTTCCACATATGGGATCTATTGTGAATTAGCTGTAGAAACTGGTACGTTTTTCTTAAGCCAAATCATATTGATGGTGTTCACAAGCAAATATGTTTATATCCCAGTGCACATTAGCCACATATAACTTTTAATTTAGCATGATGGACAACTGGTATGGATGGAAGGCTAGTATATGCTTGCTTCTCGTGCAGTAGTGGCAGTGCTACTCTGCCAAGGAGGTGAGATGAATTATAGGGGCAGAAGTGGGTTTGTCTTGAAAATAATCCAGCACTAAACTTCCTACCCATAGCATCCCCCTCATCATCTTAATTTTTCTTGGCCCAAGATGAGGTGTGTGTGAGCTGAGAACTGAAGCTACCAGGTTCCCCCTAGAGAAAAGTCATAGTGCTTGTAGCCTGTGGCCCTTGGCAGCTGCCTCACCATGTTGATCCTTAAGCAGGGGCAGTCACCATCAGAGTGGTGTAATTGCGTGACCCCTGAATGTTGCCAGTGTTCTCTTTTGTTGTTGTTCAAATGGAAATGTTGCTACACTCTCCTGTTGGCTATAAAATATGAATTATTTTTTCTTTGCAGCTTTTATATACTACCATTCTAGTATCATGTTACATAATATATTTCATGAAATTTTTGGGTTCTCCTGAAGCAACAAAAAAATCATTTCCTATTACTGGAATGGTATCTTTTTTGCCTGCTTTTGGACAAAATGAGGTAAGTCCAACAACTTTAAAAAACCAGGTAACTATCATTTTGGCACAAGAATTTTTTTTGTTCAAATTTTCCTAAGAAATCCTTAGACTGAGTATCATAGATGTTACAGGTAGCTGTTAATCAGTTTTAGTACCACACTGTCATTTTTCAGGTCTTGGTTGGTTGCATTTTTTAAAATATTTACATTTTATTGTTTTAAAAAATAAGCATGTAATATTTGTGCTTCTGTGTGCGCATTTTTATTATATGGTAAGTTCATTTATAACTTGGATATTCGATATAGAAAATAAAAACATCAGTACCTGAAATGGTCTGAGACGTATTTGTTCATAGGCTTTTTATGAGACCTAATTCTGGTACTTAAACAAAGGATATATTTCTATTCCAACAGAGCAATCTTGGTATAGAAATAATACTTTTTTGCCAAGGAAACCTAAGAGAATCTTGCAAGTCTGATTGTGCTGTACCTCCTTCAATGAATTAGGGAGGCATCTGCCTGACCCGCTTCCAAATGTTATCTGGCCATTCTGGATTTAAAAAATGCTTCAGCCCCTTTTGCTGAGGTAACAGTTTCTGCATATCTCTGTCAAGGTCATCTTCCTTACTCTCTAAATCATGTGGAACATTTCTGTGCATTAAGGTTTTTCTGTACCTCAAAGAGTGACACCTCACAAAGTACCATCTGTCCAGTCTATACTTGTAAGATTGTAAGGAGGAAATATCAGGAAAATATTTTATTAACTAGCATCAAGGGCCATTTGTTTATCACCATTGAGCTATTCTTGAGTAGTTGTTAAAGTTATTTCATATCCCCCAGCTCTTTTTTTAACTGTATTTTTATCATAATTCCTTTTTATATATTCCATAATGTTGCATCACTGCTCATTCCTACAAGCAAAAATCTTCCAGTGATTTCTCTAAACCAAGATTTGATAAAACATGTTTCTAGTGGCTTGTTACTTTAAATCCATAATGTATTCTTATTTATAAAAGAGTCTAACAAATCTTTATGCTTAAATTAATATTCTGATTATAAAATAGTTATTTTGAATAATCCCACCTTATGCTTTGTATTTAGGTTATACAAATATCATATAAAAGATAACTTACGTGAATTCAAAATGCTGACCTACTGTATAGTGCACTCAACAAACTACAAAGTAGATATTAAGTTTAAACAGTTAAGATACCTATGCATGAAAAGAAATGAAAGTCCATTGGTTCAGCATTGGTGTCACTGAATTTATTAAGGTGCAGACTATTCTTTTGATTTTAATGAAACTTGACGTTGAATGAAGTTACTAAAATAATTCTGAAATGTTCAGAGAAGATTGAGGTGGCATGAACTACTGTAAATTAACTTTAGTAAGCAAAGATACATTTTCAGCCATTTTAATATTAGATTTAAATTTCATCTAGTGGATTTTTATTTATGTAAACAAACCTTTACATCTAGAGATAATTATCTTTTAGAAATAGTAATTATGTTATATTGTACAGAAAATGGCTTTTGCTAATAGCTGGGCTAGCTAAATCATCTTGTATACAGATAGTTTTTTCAGAAAAGTATTAGAGAACCTTATATTTTCTCTGTCATAAAGGCATAGTTTATTCTAATATGAAAATACATAATTAATTCTAATACAAAAAAACATACGGGTAAGCTAAAAGGACAATGCATTTTAACCTTCTGGTGACCAATTCAGTAGAAGAGGGTATAATAGAAGAAATTTCCATGATCTGCATATTAACACCTGGCTCTAGAGATGAAGAGTCTTCAACATTAACACTTGCAGAAAAGATAACAGAAACTAGGCCAGGAACAGGCAAATATATGTGTATATTCATATTTAATTAAGACCTCGTATCTTTCAAATCAGGTGACTTTTTCAGAGGTTATATCAAATAATATTTTGACTGCCATTATCAGTGTAAAGTAAATTGAATCAAGCTTGACCCCTGGTAACTTCATGGATATGTCCATGGAGTTTTGGCAGTGGTATGGAAATGCTTGCCATGGTTTTCTTCTGGGATTTTTTTTTTTTTTTAGCCTTCCCCAAACTGGTGTTCTAGGGAGGCCTATCAGTGAAGTATTAACTGGGGCCAACTCTGCTATGTTTCCAAGCCCAGACAAAGTGGGCCAGTGAACTGTCTTGATAAGTTGTATTTGTATAATAATAAAAAATCCTTGGATGTTAATATCCTAAAATAACATCAGGTTGGTAACAAAGGATAATATAATCAACTGTTTTGCCAAAGGCAGTGGTTCTTTTTAAGGATCCAGAAGCAATAAACACACAAGTGGTTTGAAGTTAAAGTGTCTTTATTCTAAAGCAGGCACAGTAGTATAGTAGTAGTACAGTAGTAAGTAAAATATACAATACCAAGCAAGCTTTCCTCAATAGTTGTCGGGAGCCCCAGTGGATGACAACGAGGAGACCCCAATCTCTGGCCGGTACGCAACGCCTTCCCAGTTAGGTCTGCATCAAAGCTCCACTTGAGCAGAACTTCAGGGCTTTTTATCCTAAATTTTAGAAGAATGCTATGTGCCTCTAAGGGCAGGACCTTAATCACACCTGTTGTTTTCAGGTTTCATAACTTAGGTTCTTTCCACCAGATAAGTTGAGGCGAGTGGACAGCAGCCGATTCCACTGTTTATGGTATCCTCCCAAGTTCCAAGGCCGTACCATCCCAAACAGCAACCAGCCTTGAAAAACACATTTCATGCCAGAGGACCTTAACTGGCCTTTAAAGAAGCTCAGTAGTTAACTTGGTCCAGGAGACTTGGGAATAGAAGGAACAATTGTGGCACACCATCCTAAACTCCTCAATATACAATAGTCTTCTGGTGATTTTTCTCTACACCAACCATGTAATAGAGATTGATAAACCCTAAAATTGTAATATGAGATTCCTTTGTATCTTGTGTAGCCTATATGCTAGCTGGGAATCCTTGGAATTTTAGCTTGGGTACTTGGTTGAAGAACGTTATGTACAAAGTTCTGAATTTACCTTACTTTATATACTTTCATCCAAACAGCTTAAACAATTCTGCAAGCTATCTCTTATAGTATCTAATAAATGAATCCATTTTATACATGAGTGCCCACATGGATAGTGATATTATATGAACTGATAATCAATACACAATACAAGTTCTGATGTGATTAAGATATCTCCAAAAATTGCTGGCTTGTTCCCAGAAATTGCAATGGGAAATTGTCTGGAAGCTAGTTCATACAGTGCACTCTCAACCTGATCCCTTTATCTGTGCATGGGAGTCTTGTTGAAGGAAATGGGGGGGGGGGTATGACATCATGTATATAAGCCTAGTTCCCAAGCGCACACATGTCATGACACATGACATCATTTTTTAACTTACTTTGGCCTGTACTTGTATATATCCAGATAAGATTAGAAAGCATCAGTCAGGGCCATTTTTATGTGGGTACAAACCATGGTTGAAATTATATGCATATTATTTACAATTTACAGGTTATATTAATATATTAAGATTTTATTTCCTTAATTATACCAAATTAATTGTATATATTTCAGGATATTGTTAACTGGAAAGAAGCAAGGCTGACTTGGAGTTTCTTTAAGCAGTCATTCCTAAAACAGGTTTTAACAGAGGGCAAGTATGAAACTTTCTTCAGCTTGAATTTTCCATTCTCAATACCCTTCTGCCAAACAATAGCAATAAAAATGTCATTAACTGACAGTTCTGTATTTTTTAGAATTGCTGGTATGGGCTTAGGCTAAAGAGCAGTGAGAAGCATGCTGTTTCCATGAGTCTTTTTAAATTAAATGTATCTGTTTAGTCTCTGTTCATTGCAAAAGGGAAGTTGTAGATGAGAGCTTGAATCTACATAGGCCGTTTTGTGAATGAAAAGGCACTTTATATTCATGGAAGGTACTGAATTCTTTAAAGACTCTTTGATGAAAGAAGAGAATTCAAAATATCTGTCTACTATTTCTGCTTGCAGCCTCATATATCTCATGCCCTTGTTATCTCCCAGATAGACTACTGCAATGTGCTCTACATGGGGCTACCCTTGAAGAGTATCCAGAAGCTACAGCTGGTCCAGAATGCGGCCGCATGGGCTATTTTTGGAGCCCCAAAAAGGGCCCATGTAACACCATTGCTCCCCAAGCTGCATTGGGTACCAGTTTGCTTCCAGGTCCAATTCAAGGTGTTGGTTATTACCTTTAAAACCCTACATGGCATGGGACCAGGTTACTGAAGGGACTGCCTCTCCCCTATGACTTCAATCCATCCCACCCGATCACACAGAGAGGGCATGCTTCGGACCCCCTCAGTAAAGAACTTTGATTAGTGGGGTCCAGAAGGCGGGCCTTCTCTGCAGTAGCCCCCGCTCTTTGGAACATTCTGCCCCCAGAGGTGCGATTGGCCCCCTCGCTCCTGGCCTTCCGAAGGGGCTTGAAGACCTGGTTCTGTCACTTGGCCTGAGATGGGGAGGGAACACTTCAAGCAGGGGGATGGCTGGCCCCATAGTGGCTGGCTGTCCTCAGCCCGATTTTCCATCTTCTTGGATTTTCCTTTTTTAGTAGTTTTTAAATTTTAGATGTATTATGTATTTTATGTATATTTATGGTTTTAATGTTTTGTAAGTCGCCCACAGTCCCCCATTGGGGGGAGATGGGGGGGAGAAATTTGATTAAATAAATAAATAAATATCTAGTTTACATAGACATCCATCTCTGTGTGAATTAAAATTAATAGAATTAAAACCAAACCAAACAGAACACAAAAAGAAAAATAAGAAAAGTAATGGAGGCTAAGGACAAACCCAACTCCAATCATAAGAAAGACAAACTCACAGTGAGGGGCACATCTAATGTCCAGAACCCAAGACCTGAGGGAACATCCAAGTCTTCAAGGACTTCTGAAATGCTAGCAGGATCAGGGTTCCATGAATCTTGTGATATGGTGTTTCAGAGGGCAGGTGCTGGAACAGAAAAGACATGCTTCCTGGCCCTGCGCAGTTTAATAGACATGCCCACCTGCATAAATTTAAGGGGCAGAAACAACCAGAGAGAGGTGGTCCCACAAATAGCCTGAGGCATGGGACCGGGTTATTTATGGGTGACAACCAGCATCTTGAATTGGACCAGGGAGCTAGTGCAGCTCATGGAGCAGTGGTGTAACATGAGCATACTAAGGTGTACCATAACTGCTCACATTGCTGCATTCTGGACCAGTTGTAACTTCCAAGTGACTTTCAAGGACAGCCCATGTAGAGTGCATTCCAGTGGTCTACTCAGGAGGAACTAAGGCATGAGTGACTATGAGCAGTGCTCCCAATCCAGGAAAAAATGCAGTTGGCACACAAGATGGATTTGTGCAAGAGCCCTCGTGGCCACAGCTGCTACCTGCTCTTTGAACAGGAGCCACAAGTCCAGGAGGACCTCAAATTTGCACACAATTCTGACTGGGCAGTGCTATCCCATCAAGAACTAAAGATGGAAGATCACCAGAGCCAGGGGCCCTAAAACCCAAAGCCATTTGGTCTTGCTAGGGTTAAGCTGAACCTGTTCTTCCCTATTCAGAGTCCCACAGCTTCCAGATATCCAAGAAAGAACCCCAACAGCATCACTTGCTTGGCCTGGGGTAGAAGTGTGTAACAGAATTATCACCATACTGATGATAACTCACCCTGTGTTGGCAAATGACTTCACTCAGTGGCTTCATGTAGATGTTGAATAGAAATGGGGAGAGCACAGACCCCACAAAGAAGGGGTCTTGGGGTAGAACTCCCCCCTCTGTCAACACTAACTGCAACTGGTCCTGGAGGAAGGAGAACCACTACAACACGGTGTCTTTCCACTTCAAACCCCAGAGCTGGCCCAGAAGTATACCATGATTAATGGTATTGAAGGCCACTGAGAGATCAAGGAGAGGCAGGATGGACACATCAATCCCCATCCTGCTCCAATCAGAGGTCTTCCACGAGCACAATCAATGTTGTCTTGGTCCCATGTCCTGATCTGAAACCTGACTGAAAAGGGTTCAGATAATCTGCTTCCTCCAGGCCTTTCTCAACAACCTTCCCTAAAAAGGGAAGGTTGAAAACAGGATGGAAACTGTCCACATGGTTGGGTTTAGTGAAAGTTTCTTGACTAGAGGGTGGACTACTGTCTCCTTAAGCCTCAACAGGACCACCCTTTCTCTTAAGGATGAATTCATAATTGCCTGGACCTAGTCACATGTCTCCTGGGAAGTCTTAGCTTAACCAAGAAGGACACAGATCTAAAACACAGGTGGCTGAATTCACAGCCTTGAGAATCCAGTCTGCTTCTTCAGGACCAATAGGATGAAACTCTTCCCAGATAGCACAGCCAGAACTTTTGAACAACTGTTCAAAGTTCAAAACAGTTGTTTGGAGCTTGAAAAGGACTGTTTTAGCCAGTCTGGAAATGTTTTGAGCTCAAAATAGAACTGTTTTGACTTTAAAACAGGTGTTTCAAGCTTGAGTGATGTTCCTGACATCAGATAAGCTCCAGCTCCAACCTGGCTTTTTCAGTAGGGACTGAGCAGTTGTATTTGTTTTATTCCCCCTGGTGGGTGAATGTCTTCTACGTGCAGGTTATTCACTGGTATTGGGAAATTTATGTTCATCTTATAGACTGTTTTTGTCTTATTACTTGTTGAGGGTCTGTAAGGTGCTCAGAGCCAATTATGATTGTAACAGCATATAAGCTTAGTACATAAATGTTTTGAACTTGAAGTGGAAAATTTCTAACCTGAAATGTTTTAACTTGCAAACTATAGCTAGTAATACCTTTATAAATATTGATACTGAAATAGAGTGTATTGTACATGTTCAAGATATGTCTGAGGTTTGTAACTCCATAGAAATCTGTAAGTATAATGGTGTAGGAAATAAATACTAATTTGAAGTATTAATTTTATAGGTGAAAGATATGTGATGACTTTTCTGAATGTATTAAATTTTGGAGACCAAGGTAGGAAAGACTTTTAAACAAAATTTACATACATGAAGGAATAGGTTAAAATCTAAAAATAGTCTAAAAACATTTTCATCTCATTTTGAGTTTTGATGATAAATGTAATAAGGGTTAGAGGTATTTCTTGGTGTGTTTTCTAATACCAGCTAAGCTGATTATGAGGCTAAGATTATAAAGTATCACTAATAATTGTGTAATATTTTGGATTTCATTCTAAAATCAAATGCTTTGGACTGTCCAGGAGGCGCAAATGGAGCATGTCTGTGCAACTCCTCAAAGCAGCTATGTCTTTTCTCTCTATAATGATATTCTAATATCAGAATATGGAATTACATGGATTTTATTCTCATTGCCTTGTAAGCAAAGTCATTACAGGAGAACTTTTAGAGATGTACCACTAATGTCAGGGTAGAGCTGCATTGAAGCCAAGTTTGATCAAACCTTTATTATAGTTTGATCCCATAACCCCAGCAGTCAGATACAGATAAAACAAATACATACATATATATGATTGTATTGGTATGGGTGGGGGGGAGAGAAGAAATTAATGCAATTTTTCAAACTTAGGGAGAGATGTAAAGGTGCAAAATTAAGCAACCTGGGAAGATGCATCCGAACAATGATCAGATGGGAGAAGTGACAAACAGAAATCATATTTTCTCACAGAGAATTTCTTTAGGATAGGATAGATAGGCATTCCCTGTAGAGAGAACCACAGAGGAACATAATGTTCAAGGATTCTCTTGGGCCATCCCCATAAGGACATACATGTTGGTGTAGAGGAGTAGCTTTGTAACATCACAACAGAACAGTAGAAGGCAATATCTACCCTGTCCAAAGGCCAGGCCTGGTGAAATTTGCATGAGAGTTAGGAAGCTGGGACATCCCCACTTGGAAAGATTGCACTTAGATTGATTTGAAAATCAGGGTCCCAGATACACTGTTTAAGAATAGTTCTGGCATTTTCAAAGCCTAATGGCAAAGGCTGTCCAACAAGAGTGCTAAGGAGTGAAGTTTGCCAATAACCTTTTTTAATCTAGTTGACTTAAAGTGGTCTTTAAGAACCAATAAGGCTAGGCTCACTGGGAAAACTTAATATTTTTTAAGATTAACTTTAATCTTTGACTTTAGCCAAAGATTAAAATGATGGTACAGGTAGTCCCCAGTTTAAGAATGAATTCCATTCCCATGGTCTGTCCTTAAATTTGTATGTAAGCCAAAACAGTATTATTATATAATATTGTATAAGTAGTATGGTGTAGTTAACTCAAACCACTGTGTATTTAACTCAAACCATTGTATATTTAACTCGCATTTTGCTACAACAGATTCCATTCTTAACTATAGATCATCTGTAAACTCGGCATTCTTAACCCGGGGACTACCTCTACCAAACTATCTAGCATCCACAGAGAACAAGCCCATATCTAAATGCAGAGCAGCATTCTTAATACATCTTGGGACTGCAATGATTGGTTTAATAAACTTAATGATTTCAAGGATATCTTTCTAAAAGTACAGATTTGGGTACTTGGAAGAAGCTGGGACCTCAGCTACAAAGCCCTTGCAAGCTGCAGGGATAAAGTGGGCTCCCTTCAAATGAAAGAATCTCAGAATAGGTGAAGAGCTATGCTGAGAAGTACTTGCCAGATATAAAAAACCGTTTTCTCCATTATAGTGAAGTCTGGAACAGTATTCTGAGATACTTATGAGTGCCTACTTGCTTGATAGCATTCCCTTTAGCTTGCCAATTACAATTTTGTAACAGTTTTGTGCAAATAGTAGAACTTTAGTTTTCTGATAGTTTGTTTATATGTCACATTTATATAACCGCCAATCTCACATAAAGTGTCTCTGGGCGGTGTACAACCATTAAATAAAATAATAGGTGGATAAAAACAAGCATTATAAAAGATAAAAAAAATACTGTTAAAATAAAAATGTTATCATTTTTGTTACATGTTATTCCTTGGAGCAGAAAGAGGCCAAGGGTTTCAGTGACCTTCTCATTCTCACCTGAGGGGCAGACATGGTCACAGTGTTGTCAGCATATAAAAGAGTTGAAACTACTCGAAGTCCTAATGCAGGGGCTGATGAGCAGGGACAGACTAGTCCAGGGTCTGGACTATTGAGTTAATACAGAAATTAAAACGCAGAGAGGATAGAATGCACCCCTGCTTCACCTATATCTCAAAATGGTGTAAGAGTGGAAGAAATGAATGAGAAAGTGAAACCCTTTATCTGTTGATGATCCCCTTAATTTTTCCACAGCTTCTCTCTCGGAATTAAATTAAAGTCTGATTTAAAATCAATGAAGCCTGTGAAAAGAGAGCCTCTGGCTGGGAAGAGTATTTCTTGGTTAATTGGTAGAGGACCAGATAATGGTTAAAAGTTGATTGGTCCCCTCTGAAACTTGCTGCTCCTCAGTTTTCACTTTCAACACAGTCCAGTAGTTTTAAGTAGAGATATAGCTATATAGCTTAATTGTATTAAGCAAGCTGACAGGTCTGTGACTGGCAGGGTCTAATTTATTTCATTTGTTTTGTAGAATAGAATAAAAATGGCATGATTCCAGTCAGTAAGAAAACATACTGAGAGGCTAATATCGATGAAATAGGACATCTAGTACTGGAGCCCACCTGTCCTTATTCTCAATAATTCTGGGGGATAAAGTCTCCCTGTTGTTTTGCAGGTTTTAGTTATGAAATAAGATTCTTGAACTCATATGTGGACAGTCAGGAAGAACATTTTGAGAGTAGGTCACAGCTGGATCCTCTAATGATTCCTGTGTGAAAATACTCTGAAAATACAATAATTCTCTAAATAATAATCTAAATAATTCTCTAAAGATTCTTCAGATTTTTTCAGTTTCTTTTGGCAAACTGGATCAGCAGGGCAATTAAGTTCCCCCACTCTTCTGTTATAAGTTCTCTTTTCTTTCATTTTAGAAGGACTTTGTTCGTCTTTTTTGCTGTAAAAGTGACTGGAATGTATCTGGAGAGTTGTTAAGTCAGAAGGCATTTACTGCTGTGGGAAGGGCCTTTTTTCCTTTGATACAGTTGGGTTTGGATCTAATATGGGGGAGACTAGGACAATCTGAGGGTGATCTTGATTGAAGAGCATGAAGCAAAAGGATACTATGTTAACATCTGGTCAGGAAGGTCTGCTAGGACCATTTATTCCAAACATGCCCTTTTGTTGTGGAACTAAGAGGGCAGCAGGTTTTTTCTAGGAATTTGGTACTTGCTTTAAGATCCAGCAGGTAAATTAAAGGGAAGTGATTGTTGTCAAAGCAAATTCCAATACAAAATGAGTTATTGATGAACATAGGTGCATAATACCAATATATAATTTATCACATTCCCTTCTTTGGCCCTTAGAAAGTGAGTTCCCCATTAGAATCCCCCGGCAGTGCCATTTAGAAGTGCCATTGTCCATTTGGGCAATGAAAAGCCTCACGTTGTTACAGTGCTTGTCTTTGGTGGACTGTCAGACCTGGAATAATAAGAGGGGAATATCTAGCTATAAATAGATCACCCATAGCTCAGGTTTCTTGGAAAAAGAACATGTGAAAAGCAGTAATGCAATTCAAGAAGGTCCCTCACTTTCCATCCAGCAATGTTCCAGCAGAGTATGGAGATTAAATTGTAATCATGGAGGAATCAGTATTAGGGACCTCAACTGATGACCTGAGTAAACCATCTGGGGGAGAGGGGACTAATTGAATGGAGTGAGGATTTGGCGAATCAGCTACTAAATGGTGGAGGGCGAACAGTATCCCTAACTATTGATTTGTTTTGCCTGTGGAATCTTCCATTAATGCAGGTAAATATGAGGCAGAAGTTTGTTTTGGATAAAAAAAAAATCTGGGAAGGGCATAGGCCCAACTGGGGGACAGCATCAGTGACTGCAGAGCTTGAAACCCCTGGGATTGGGGGATAGCTATCAGTGAAGTAGCTATTGGTACTTGGGAGATAATCAGAATTGTGGGGAGTCACATTCAGTATGAATATGAACAGGTCTTTGTGGCAGTTTCTAATTATATCCTAGTGATACTGTACGTAAACTTCAGTGAACTGGTTCTAAGGATATAGTTTCTCTTAATGGAGGAAATTAGATGGAATTAAGATGTGCCATATACATGATAATAGCATATAGTCATCCGATTCCATGTTAATGAAGAAAGGATATAACATATGCTGCATTGGATAAATTGATACTGCTGGCTTTCTTACCTGGCACCCTCTAGGTGTGCTGGGCTTTATTTGCCAATTAATTCAGAAAGCATTGAATTATAGGATTTAAGTCCAACACATCTGGAAAACATCAAATTGGGAATTTCTGTAATAGATCAATGGATATGAAACCAATGCAAAGTTTTGGTGTTTTTAAAATTCTGTACTTTGAAAAGGAATAGTTTATTTTTCTTGGAACTTAAAATGATTTTCCATTTGTATGAAATAAGTCTGCTACATATTTAATAATTGTTTGCTCAGTATAGTGTGAAATGCAGTGGGCTTCTCTATTTTGTTGATTATTGTTATAGAAAGAAATTACAATATTAATTTTATTTTTAAATTGATATATTGCCTTTAGTATGGGTTGCAAGTGCTAGTCACAGCAATTTATGCTGAACATTGTAGAACTTTATGTATCTATAATACGCATAATACTTTTAATCTTAGTGCAAAATGCAGAAAAATGGTTTTAAGTAAAGACTAATTTATATTTAGCATATTGTGAGCAGACACATTCTTACTATTCATAGTTTTGCATTTTAATTTTTAAGAAATAGTGAAAATATTAACTGTATTTTTCTCCTCCTTTACAAAGGTGTATATGATATTGTAAACAACCTTGGTTCTTTGACAGCTAGATTTATATTTTTACCAATAGAAGAGAGTTTTTATGTGTACTTTGCTAAAGTTCTAGAACGTGGGAAGGATATAAAGTTGCAAAAACAGGTAAGTTTAGTCTTATTATTCAGTAATCTAACATAAAGGATGAAAGCATCATTGTTATCTAAAACATGAATACATTTTTTCATTGGAAAGAGAGAGGAGAACTGATAGGTATATAATTAAGCATAGAATGGAGAATGTGCATAAGATTTTTTTCTTCTCATAATACAGAACCTCTATATTATAGAGAGCCACCCAGTGAAATTGAATGGTGAGAAAACAAGGACAGGTAAAAGGAAGGAATATATCAGTTTTTATTAAATTTTAGAAATGACGGTCTGAAGTTAATGGAAGGTCTAAAAGGCTGAGGGATAAGTGTATGGATGATATGGCCTCAGAGGATGGGGAACTGTTCATGCTCTACTTCAGGAGTTCCCAGAAAGAAATTGTTTGGCTGATTTCAGAACACGATTCTGGTCTTCTGTCTAATCCAGGAGGCCTCTGCCTATGTTAACTGGCTCTTGGGTGGTTCACAGAATTAAATAAGAAAAGTTTTGATGTATAATGGTTTTCAAAGAAAATTAAAGAAAACACGTTGTTCTATTAGGAATGTGTGTGGAAATAAAGGGGTAGGTACAGAATATATATAAATATGCTAAAATTGTCCTGGAACTTGTGATTTAAAAGCAGGATTTTACTTTCATTCCTGTAATTCTGTAGTAGTACATTATTTTCAGTGACTGCATTTAGGATTGGATTGTTAGCTTTTGAATAAGTATGAATATACATTTCACATAAGAGATTGTAAATAAAATCAATCCAACTTACCACACAGGCTCTTACTGTGGGGAAAAATTGGAGGAGGGAATGCTACATGTGCTGTCTTGAGTTCTGGAGAAAAGATCTAAATCTAAAACAAACTGTACAGGATGATTAAGGCTTGGATATCTCGGGCACAGACCACTAAACCTGGAAGGCCATTAAATGGCATCAAAGAGGTTTTCATCTGCAGTTATCAAGTGGGCATCTGGATTTTTGCAGCCCAGATAGGGTAGCCCTAAGTATCACCTTTATTTTAAGAATTGATTGAAGTAAAAAACAAACCAAAATCTGGGAATGTTGAATGTTCTTGCTTTCCTTTACTGCATTTGAAGGTAGCTTTGTTAAATGTATTTACTTTCCCATAGCAGATTTCCCAGTGAAATTAGGATATTTTAATGAACAAATTTGTGCAGATTAATTTTTGTCTGTAACATTCAGCATACCACATACATCTAAATGTGTCTACTATCAAACATATTCTATAAAAATGGCCTTTGTTAAATTATTATAACTTCACTATGACTAGAAAACTAAATATAGCACATTGTAAAATCTAATTATTCTGCATGTTAATTTGGCATAATAATCTTGAGCATGTAGTTTTGTTGTTTCCATTAAATAAATATAATTCTTTTTTAGGATGACATTTCTATGGCAGCTACTGTATTAGAATCACTGTTGAAACTAGTGCTTCTGATTGGCTTAACCATTACAGTATTTGGCTTTGCCTATTCGCAGTTGGCACTGGATCTTTATGGAGGATCAATGCTCAGTTCAGGATCAGGTAATACCTGTTTTCTTTTTAAAAAGTACTTTCATAAACATCAAACTATGTTGTGAAAGCCTCTTTGATACACTTTTATGTCTGAAAAAAATATGGAAGATTTGGAAGAATTGACACATAACAATTGATATGTTATGATTGCATGTTATGAAGAAGTGTGATGATTACAGTAGGTCTATGGCAGGAGCTACCAGTACTGAAATGGAAACATACAGATGACCATTAGATGTCAACAAAAGAGTTTTCTGTATCTCTGCTGCCCTCTCATAGTTGTCCAGATTTTTGCAGCCTAGATCTTATAGTCTTAGATTTAGTGCATGTTTGCGAGGGCTGTGCAATGACCTGAATTCAAAGGGAAAAAATGAGTCAGAGTGTGTATAGACATGCATGTTACACTTATCTGCACTTTCTGAAATCAAACACATATTTTCTATAAGATCCGAAAAAGATGCACACTCTTTCCCTTCAAATCTGGCTTGCTGCATAGCTGTACTTTATGCATCTGGATTTTTGGTGCTGTTGTGAGAAATTATACATCTCTTTAATAGTACAACAGTGCTATGGATCCTCAGATGGTTTTCTGGGTGCCATATCCATCTTCCTTTGATGGAAAGATTGGCAACCATTTTGAAAGCAGACTCTTCATAGAGGAAGTAGGAAGGGGAATTATGCCGTGAGAACCAGGTTTTTTAAAAAGTAAGAAAGAAAACAGGAGGGTGGGGGGAAGAATAATTCTTGCTCCCTCATAATTTATGTTATGTGATCCCTCCCAAATGAAACAATGTAATTCCCTCTGAAAAGTCTCAATAGTTTTTCCCATGTGCTTTCAAAGTCAGTGAGAAAATGGGAAGAAGGGACAGTCTTCATGCAACTTTAAGCCTTTAATGTGGCTGAGTTGGTTATTTCAGGCAATTTTCCATTGACATATATGCTTTAGCATCAAGTTTAGGACAAGTTGAAAGCGGACATGAACTAATTGAGAGCCATGATCAGAGTTATATTTAGCATATATGTCAATGGCAAATTGCCTGAAAAATCCAACTCAGCCACATTTAGCTCAGAATTGTTGGATTTTTTCTTCTGAGTTAATAGTATACTTTTGCAGTGATGTTATTGTAATAGTTGTCTTTATTTGTCAAAGCAGCATTGTGCGTTGTCACACTCCCAACATGCAAAGTTTTAAATTGGCATTGGGCAATACATGTGGTTGTCACTGAATTTTATCTCTTGCTTGGAATCTTGGAGAAAGAGGACTATTCTAAAAGACCCCAGCTTTCATGGAACAATATATTCCTGTTTGTTATGGTTGAGTGTAAAACGAGAACATGAAGAAGCAAATAAATGAACTCTACTGTCATGTTGTTAGTTGTTTACCTCCATATTCAGTTCATCATTTATAAGTGGAGTAGGAAACCTCTGCTCTCCAGATTTTGCTGAACTAAAGCTTCCAGGTTCCTTTGCCACTGGCCATACTGATTAAGGTTGCACAGGGGACAGTAGTCCAGTAACATCTGGTGGGCTGCAGGTTCCCCATCTCTGATTTAAAATATAGCAGCAACCTTTCCCTGAGACTTGAGAGAGTTGCTATAGTTGAAGTAGATTTTATCAGTCTGTCTGTTTATTTGGTTTGACTCTCTGTATAGCAGCTTCATATGCTCTGCATACATCTATCTAGCTTTCAAGGGATGACTCAATTTTTTAATATAAAATTAATTTTGGAATAAGCAGAATGGGTCGGTCAATTGTACTTTGGCATCTGCCACAGGCATGAAAATGATGCATAAATTCTGTTAATGGAATGCACATTAGCAGCAGCCATCTGGCTTGCAATAGGCTTTTTGGTGGCCTTCAGAATTGAACAGTTTGCCTAGTAAAGCTTTCTCTGATATCGATGGAGACCAAGAATGGAGGATTGTTGGTAACTGAAATGCACCCAGAGTTTAACCCACACTCAAACCTAATTATTTCTACTATTTCTTATACTGTGTTTGCTTTGAAATTGAATACTTGAATACTTTATATTGCACAAGATTTTTTAAATAGTTAGATTGTAAGTTGATTGTGCTTTTAGAATTTATTAATATTTTTGTTTGCATTTGTGCACAAAATTTAGGTTATATGCGATTAATCCTCTTGTCACAACATTTAATCAGGTCCAAGTCTCCTTCGCTGCTATAGTTTGTATGTCTTGCTGCTTGCTGTTAATGGGGTAACAGAATGTTTTACATTCGCTTCAATGTGCAAAGAAGAAGTGGACAGGTAATGTAAAATGGTTAAAAGTTAACTTTAATTCTGTATTCTCTGTAACTTTGTATGAGGAAGAGAATCCAGTTTGTACAACAAGTCCCTCAGAATAAGTGATAGCTTATTAAACTTGATAGCTACACTCTCTCATGGATAGAAAAATCTATTCATTTATATGAGGAACCATTCATGAACTGAAGGATCTAATCTAACTAGGAAGTTTACTGATTGCTAGAGAAGCAGTTTATGTACATAACTCACTTAGTCCCTGAAGGTTCACATAGACATATAATCAATTAGAGTTGAAGGGTCGATTTTAATTCAGCTTGTCAAAGTCACGTTAGGGGTGTCCCCGGTAAATGAAATTGCACACCTGGTTATTGTGAGTGAGGGTGAACATGACCCTGGGTCTGATTCTTCCATTCAATTAGTTCTACCACTTAGGCATAGGAGGTATTCATGAATACAATTCTCCAAAAGGATAATAAATTGTGAATTGTTTATAGTAGATTGTTTTCTAATATATCAAAGGGCTAAATTCAAGTCTGTATGATATTACCCCAAGCTGTACTGGGGTGTGTGTGTTGAATTGGTTAGATTCTTACCTATTTGAGGTCCTAATAAATAAAACTTGTTTGTTGGTGCAGTTCCTGTTACTTGCCTACAGCATGAAGCAACTCACCTAATTATAACAGAATTTATTAACTAATCCTCATTATGTATGAGGATATACTTGATATTGGCCTCTTTGTAAAGAAGAGTTAAGAGCATTCCGGTTAGAAACTTTTAATTAATTTGTATGTGCCTGCTCTGGATTTGGAGTGGGGAAAACATTTTTTTCTATTTGGACTGTTCCATCCCATCCAATAGAACAGAGGCTTTCAAAATTGTTCAGGCCACGGAATCTTAGTTAAAAAACAAAAATCTTGAACCTCTGGTGCCTGCTTCTGAATGTCAGTTGACAAGCCCTGATCTTTCCACCATACCTTAGAAAAATTGCTATTGCTGCCCCCAACTGCATTCACGTGATTCCCCTCCCCTTTGCCCCAATATCATGGAATTCCATAAAGTTTTCATGGAACTTTGGAAAACCTGCTGTAGCTTTCTTCCTGTAGTTTCTTATCTTTATCCTATTGGGTCTTGCTAAGGGCTTACCAACTGCAAACTGCAGCAAATTCACATTGTTTCTTTTAAGTTTCTGGTACCCTTCTTTCTTTACTCTTGCCGTCTCTCCGGCAGTCTCCCTGTTGGGTTTCCTATAAAAAATCGGCAAGAAGAATGTTGATTGCTAGTATTATTAGCACATTATAGCGGCAGTACTCAACTGGTCAATATTCAGAGGCTTTCCAAGAGGCTGCCAAGTTCTCAATTTCAGAATTTTTCTCTTGTCATCTGTCCACTATTGCAGAAAATGCAGTTTAAGTAACGGATTTTCACATTTTTGTAGGAAAGACATGATAGTTACAAAGAAGAACATAATTTATAATTTTGTAATATTCCAGTAACTCTATGTTAACAATTATGTCCCTAGATAAAGATATCATAGAGTTGGGAGGTAAAGAATTAACATGTAGAAAATGGAAAGGTCTTTTCTTTCTTTTTGAATGAATAAGAAATAGGACATTTGCTTCACTTTTGCAATAACCTGTGCCTGCTACTGTTTTGGTTTCATAGACAAGTTCCTTGAAGTAGAGAGCCAAACATCTGTCTGAGTATTCAGAGAAATCATAAAGCATGGCAAGAGTACCTACTCTGTGTGTGTGTGTGTGTGTGTCTGGAGTTGTGTGTATCTGTCTTGCCCCCAACATTCTATTTCTGGTGTTCCTGTATATTGAGCGTAAAGGGCTGAAGGATTAATCAGCCCAGTTGGAATTTCCTTTTGGGATGGAAAAAAGGACAGTTAGGTTTGCTTATTCATATTCCTCCTCTACATACCACTGTATTCCCCCTTCCAAATTCTGTGCTTTATCTCTACATTCTTCAGGGTATTTCTCTAATGCCTACATAGAGCTCTTGTTTTCTGATAACATATGGTTATTGCTAGGTATGTTCCATTAAGTTCATGATATTCCTTTTCAAGGAAGATATATATCTGACTAGCTTTATCAGCAATCAGTGAACATCCTAACTGGTTCATCTGCCTATAAGGTAGCCATCCACATAGTTAAAATATTCAGCTATTCCTAGTGATCCCTCACTGAAGTGTCATACTTTTTTTATCTGTGGGATGTCTTAAACAGCTCTCAGTCACATTATTCTGAGTGATGCATTATGTAAACTTACAGGGATACAATAAAATGCTAGTCCTAATCAATAGTTCGTAAAATGGCATCAGGAACTTAGTGACAGTCTTATTAAATACATAATGTGCAATACCCTAAAATAAGCATAGCCATTAGTATTTACTTCTCCACCATTCACTCTTATGTGAAAACAAATGAAGTGCTACATTTGGTCACAGCGTTGCAGAATGAGCAAACTCTACTCATTCTGCTTGATCTTGGGTGCCCTGATCTCTACCAGTACTGATCCCCAAACCTTGTATTCACTCCACAGCCTCTGCTATATAGAACGGTGCCTTCCATGAAAATGAGACTCATTATAGATAAAATTCTAAGTTTCGGTATGAGGGTTAGCCTTTAAAAATAGTGCAGCTCCTTCTTCAAACAGTAACCTCGCCATAAAGGTACAGCTTAGGCTTTTCTGTTGTGGCTGTGACCTAAATTCAGTCCTGTGACTGGCACAATAGCAGCTGCCATTGATGCCAGCCTACCATTACTTTGCTCTGATACAACTGCATGTTGTAGAGGTCCTACCTGAGTGTTGCTTATAAACTTTATAAGAAAGTAACACTTGTGAGGTGAATTTATTCTGTTTAGTAAATTTACTATTCAGTGAATTTATTCTGTTTTTCTTTGGGTGAAAAGCTCTGATGTATACTAACTCTATGTATACTAACTTTATTGACTAAGGATACGTCTTGGAAAGCAGTAGCTAAAGTAGATTTACTCTCATTAGATATATCTCAGTCAAATTTAACTTTATAGAAAACGTATCCCACTGAAAACAAATGATTAACTAAAAGTTGTTTTGATATTTTGAATTACATATTTAAGATAATATAGGCTGCTCTGCCAATTCCTGTCACTATGCAGCTGAGTCTTTCATAATTTTGGTTTAAATTGACTTCTGATAGGTAAAATACATTTCAGAGAGTTGTAAGATGTGATTAATTGTAAACTCCCATACCAGTAAAGCTACCCTCTAGTGTGAAAGGCAAAAACCTTGAAGATGCTCATTACAGCATTCTAGTTTAAGATCAGAATAATATTGAATTAATCCTCATTTTCATGAATTCGTTATTAATTCCCATTTCCCATGCATGGGTGTCTTTGTGCATTAATGAAATTTCTTAGACAGTGTATAACTGTGAGGAAAGCAGAGACATTGAAATGTTGAAAGAATATTTAAGGTATTATTTAGGTTAGGTTTTGTCAGTGGTGTTCCATAGCAAAATAATTCTCTATATATAAATGTGTGGGCAGAGAGAAGAGATACTGTTATTAAATATTCCATTTTAAATTGACATAAGTAGATACTATTATAAACCAACATCCACATAACAGAAATATTAATATTGACAGACAATCCTTTAAAACCACGATTACATTCAATATTTGTGGCTACCTTTAGATTTGATCTTCTCTTCAGTTCTATCTTCAGACTTCATCAGCTTTTCATTTCAGAAGTGGAAGCTTTAAGCCTGAAATTAAAAAGAAAACAAACCCTTAATGAAAATTATGATGGTTGCTTATTACATCCATCCCATACTATGTCATCTGGTTTGGACATAATGCCAAACTACGCTTTAGTATGACATACACAAACTTTCACTCTCCTGAAGTATTGCAAGAGATTAGGCGTTTTTGCCTATCATTATATATCTTCTCTTTATCATTATATCTAAGTCCAAAACTGATGTTAATCTTTGTAATAATGGTTAGGGGACTAAGTCAGGATCAGCAGCTGTGGTTTGAAATTGGCTTTCTCAGCCATAGTTAAAAACCTCAGTTTGCTATACTTGGGATGTAATGATAATCTATGCTTAGTTAAAAACAGAAATGAAAGCTTCTAATCTTTTTGAGGCCACAACAAAAGATAGAGAAGAGGGAGAAAAAAGATTCAAAAAGTCAACATTTAGCATTGGGTCTCAGTGAGGCTTAGATTTATAATAAAACATTTTCTCAAAGTTCAAAGCAGTGCATATATTGTAGCTCACACCTCCCTATAATGTGGACCTACTCTGTCTCTCCTACATTATGAAGTAATTATTTGGAATGTATTTTTTTTCCACAGTAGTCAATAGGAAATGTGTTTTTCTTCTTTTAAGTTTTCAGGAGGTGGTAATAGATGGGAGAAGAAGATGAAACAATTAAATCTCTTTTTCCTTCTGACCATATCTGGAACATTGCTGCTTTTAGATTACATTGATAAATTGTCTGGAATGGATGGACAACTTACAAATGTCAGACATACGGAAAATGAGCCAAACACCAATTCAGCACTTGAATAAAATTATGTGTTCAATTTGCTTCCCAAATCAGTCCCCAGGGAAGGAATGGGAACTCACCTACTACTACATTTACATTACAGGATATTTCAGCTGGGGGCTTGCTGGTTCCTAAAGCTTCTAGCCAGTGAGACCTACACATATGAAACCAGTTAGTGTTTCTCAACCTTG